GCCCTTCATTGGACACTGTGTTAACAAACCTCCAAACGAGCTTCAATGCCATACAACAATCCTTCAGTAGCCTCCAACTGCTCTTAAACACTAGTAAAACTAAATGCATGCTTTTCAATCGAACGCTGCTGGCACCCGCCCACCCGACTAGAATCACCACTCTCGACGGGTCTGACCTAGAGTATGTGGACAACTACAAATACCTAGGTGTCTGGTTAGACTGTAAACTCAACTTCCAGACTCACATAAAGAATCTCCAATCCAAAGTTAAATCTAGAATCGGCTTCCTATTTCGCAATAAAGCCTCCTTCACTCATGCTGCCAAACATGCCCTCGTAAAACTGACTATCCTACCGATCCTTGACTTCGGCGATGTAATTTACAAAATAGCCTCCAACACTCTACTCAGCAAATTGGATGTAGTCTATCACAGTGCCATCAGTTTTGTCTCCAAAGCCCCATACACTACCCACCACTGTGACCTGTACGCTCTTGTTGGCTGGTCCTCACTACATGTTCGTCGTCAAACCCACTGGCTCCAGGCCATCTATAAATCACTGCTAGGCAAATCCCCGCCTTATCTTAGCTCATTGGTCACCATAGCAGCACCCACCCGTAGTCTGCGCTCCAGCAGGTATATCTCACTGGTCATTCCCAAAGCCAACACCTCCTTTGGCCGCCATTCCTTCCAGTTCTCTGCTGCCAATGACTGGAACGAATTGCAAAAATCTCTGAAGCTGGAGACTCTTATCTCCCTCAATAACTTTAAGCATCAGTTGTCAGAGCACCTTACCGATCACTGCACCTGTACACAGCCCATCCGAAATTAGCCCACCCAACTACCTCATCCCTATATTGTTATTTATTTTGCTCTTTTGCACCCCAGTATCTCTATTTGCACATAATCTCTTGCACATCTAGTATTCCAGTGTTAATACTATTGTAATTATTCTGCACTATAGCCTATTTATTGCCTTACCTCCATAACTTGCTACATTTGCACACACTGTATATATATTTTCTGTTGTATTTCTGACTTTATGTTTTTTTTTTTACCCCATATGTAACTCTGTGTTGTTTTTATTGCACTACTTTGCTTTATCTTGGCCAGGTCGCAGTTGTAAATGAGAACCTGTTCTCAACTGGCTTACCTGGTTAAATAAAGGTGAAATAAAAATAAATAAAAAAAACTGTAGGTAGGGTACTGTAGGCAGGGTACTGTAGGCAGGGTACTGTAGGTAGGGTACTGTAGCCAGGGTACGGTAGCCAGGGTACTGTAGGCAGGGTGCTGTAGGCAGAGGACTGTAGGCAGGGTACTGTAGGAAGTGTACTGTAGGCAGGGTACTGTAGGCAGGGTACTGTAGCCAGGGTACTATAGGCAGGGTACTATAAGCAGGGTACTATAGGCAGGGTACTCTAGGCAGGGTACTGTAGGCAGGGTACTATAGGCAGAGTACTGTAGGCAGGGTACTGTAGCCAGGATACTTTAGGCAGGGTACTATAGGCAGGGTACTGTAGGCAGGGTACTGTAGGCAGAGTACTATAGGCAGAGTACTGTAGGCAGGGTACTGTATGCAGGATACTGTAGGCAGGGTACTATAGGCAGGGTACTATAGGCAGAGTACTGTAGGCAGGGTACTGTAGTCAGGATACTGTAGGCAGGGTACTATAGGCAAGGTACTATAGGCAGGGTACTGTAGGCAGGGTACTGTAGGCAGAGTACTATAGGCAGAGTACTGTAGGCAGGGTACTATAGGCAAGGTACTATAGGCAGGGTACTGTAGGCAGGGTACTGTAGGCAGAGTACTATAGGCAGAGTACTGTAGGCAGGATACTGTAGGCAGGGTACTATAGCCAGGGTACTGTAGCCAGGGCACTGTAGCCAGGGTACTGTAGGCAGGATACTGTAGTCAGGATACTGTAGGCAGGGTACTATAGGCAAGGTACTATAGGCAGGGTACTGTAGGCAGGGTACTGTAGGCAGAGTACTATAGGCAGAGTACTGTAGGCAGGGTACTGTAGGCAGGGTACTGTAGGCAGGGTACTGTAGGCAGAGTACTATAGGCAGAGTACTGTAGGCAGAGTACTGTAGGCAGGATACTGTAGGCAGGGTACTGTAGCCAGGGTACTGTAGCCAGGGCACTGTAGCCAGGGTACTGTAGGCAGGATACTGTAGGCAGGGTACTATAGCCAGGGTACTGTAGCCAGGGTACTGTAGCCAGGGTACTGTAGGCAGGGCACTGTAGCCAGGGTAGTGTAGGCAGGGCACTGTAGCCAGGGTAGTGTAGGCAGGGTACTGTAGGCAGGGTACTATAGGCAGTGTATACATTTGTTTGATTATGGTTGACGAGGAGAGATCACCCCTGCAGCTGCTGTCTAGCTGATGGGATGGGGCCCTACTCTACTGTTCTCCCTGTGATCACGGAGCTCTGTGGCATTCTCACTGACACGCTCACCCCCACCTCAGCCCCTGCCACACACACACACACACACTCACTCACTCAACTCTCCTGCCTACCACACTGCCTTGGGGCAACGGAGCTGGAGCGATCCGAAGGAGTTAGCAGCATACACATCAATGATTCCCTTGCTGGACGAGCGAATCAGAGGATTCTTGAGCAGCCATGCAGTGCTCTGTCCCTCAGTGCTCACAGACCCTCCCCGAGGAACACTTGTACAGGCTCTGGGTCTCAGCTCAAACCTCATCAAAGTTGGGCTAATTTATTCTGAACCCTCCCCTCCAGTAACCAATCTACCAACCCCCAGCTCTGCCTGCCAAACATTGGATTCCCTCCTCAGCTGGAGTTGTTCTTTTTTAATGGGGACATCTTTTGATTTGAAGCCAACGAGTGTCGTCGAGGAGAAGAGGCTGAGAGGGAGAAATGCTGGCTTTTCTTCTTGGATGAAATAGAGAGCGGGACCCTGAAGCAGTGAAGACTCCACTCCACCCAGCGTTCAGCTTCCAGCCTCTGACTCAGTCCCATGGATCTAATGAACACACTACAAGTTCCAAACCCTATCTGTTCTGTTCTGCCACCAGAGAGCTGATACGCTAGAAGCCTGATTTGCTTGGAGCCTGGGATGCCATTTCAAAGAGGAGTAAGAAACTCACACGATCTAGAAACAGAACAACGGTTGGACGGGCAGCGCAAGCAGCTATAATTAGCTGGATAAAGCTGTGTGTACCTGCAGTAGTGTGATCAGACCAAGCAGACAGGATAGGAGGATTCACTTCAAGGATACTTATTTTTGTAATGCCTAGCCCAGGAGTTGGTAGAGGTACTTAAATAGTCGAACTGGGAACCGTAAGGTTCAGATGCCGGAGCAAGAGCAGGTGGGTCAGGGGTTTGTGTCACGGTGTGTGTGTTACTGTGTGTGTGTGTGTGTGTGTGTAGGAGGGATCCGAGATGTGATGCTGATGACCTGTGTGAAAAGGAGGGGGTCAGTGGACACAGGGGTTTCAGCACACACACACACACGGCTGCACTACTGTGATTTATGGCATAATGTGTGATACAATGACTATGTTTTGCCAAGGTTCTATTGGATATTTTTGTTCTTGTCACAGTACATTATGAAGTAACTACAGTAGCTTTAGATATTGATCAGTATTGAGTGTGTGACTGGCTCTGTATCCTGTTAGCACACAGTAAAAGCAGGATCTTTGGAATGATGCATCTGTGATCTTCAGGCCAACAGAGCAGTAGTTGGTCTGTGGCCAGCCTAGTGATACAGCCTAGTGATAATCTCGTGCCATCAACTGCTGTCCAAACACAGATAGGTCAACTCACCCATATTGCATAACGATCAGAGCTTTGTTTAGAAAATAGGGAGAAGCCTCCTCCTCTCCACTCCACGTCTCTTCTCTGTGATCTGGGGACTAGGGCTGGCTGAGAGTGGCCGTCTCAGTGGTAGCTGGCTTGTCAGCTGCGCTGAATGTATATTTATATACGCCTGCCTGGTTTAGCGAGGCGCGGGCTGTAATGTCACGGCTGCATGCGATGGCTGTGTTATCTGTTTAATGGACTGGACTGAGGCTTGTCATGACTTTGACATCAGCCTACATGAGCTTGGCCTGCAGTGGGTTTCTATAGTGCTACTGTTCAGCTTTTCCTCAACATTGTTAGATAATATATGGATTTGGCAGCCAATCATTGTCAGTCATCTGCATCAGAACTAGGTTAGCTTTCATGCTAACTTTTCTCATTCAACTCTAGGAGGCCTATTGTGGAGCAACAATGGGAGTTGAATGGGAAGGGTAGTAGGTATCCTAAGGAGAGCCCTGCCCATAGGAAGACTCATGCCCTCCTTTGTGCTGGGAAGGGAAAGGGGCGAGGAGGAACCATAAGAATGTCACTGCTCTTCTTTCCCAGCCTATGATACTGTTTTCTGCCCTCAAGTCTACTGTTTTCTGCACTCTAATCTACTGTTTTCTGCCCTCTAGTCTACTGTTTTCTGCCCTCTAGTCTACTGTTTTCTGCCCTCTAGTCTACTGTTTTCTGCCCTCTAGTCTACTGTTTTCTGCACTCTAATCTACTGTTTTCTGCCCTCTAGTCTACTGTTTTCTGCACTATAGTCTACTGTTTTCTGCACTCTAGTCTACTGTTTTCTGCCCTATAGTCTACTGTTTTCTGCACTCTAGTCTACTGTTTTCTGCACTCTAGTCTACTGTTTTCTGCACTCTAGTCTACTGTTTTCTGCACTCTAGTCTACTGTTTTCTGCACTCTAGTCTACTGTTTTCTGCACTCTAGTCTACTGTTTTCTGCCCTCCCTGAGAGGATTGGATAGGGATAAGACATAGTAAAAGCAGCAGCTTGCCATCTTACGTCTATTCAATTCTTTCAGATCTAGTTCCCTGGGGATCCATTGAGATTGGGTATAGGACTCCCTCCCTCAGTGTGCTTACTAGTTAGTGACCTTACTCTCTCTCTCTCTCTCTCTCTCTCTCTCTCTCTCTCTCTCTCTCTCTCTCTCTCTCTCTCTCTCTCCTCTCCCCAGCGTGGCTGTGACTCGTTCCCAGGACGTGCCCTCCTTCGGCCCTCCTATCCCCAAGGGTGTGACCTTCCCCAAGTCCACTGTCTTCAGGGACTTCCTGCTGGCCAAGGTCATCAACGCAGAGAACGCTGCCCACAAGTCTGAGAAGTTTGGTGCCATGGCGACACGCACGCGACAGGAGTACCTGCGGGACCTGGCAGAGCGTCACGTGACCAGCACGCCGGTGGAGCCCACGGGGAAATTCCCCTTCATCTCATTGGCTCACAAGCGGAGAGAGAGGGTGCGGCCGTACAGCGGGGCGGAGCTAAGGAGCCTAGGTGCAGTGACATGGCCAGTGTATGCGGAGGACCAGGTAGCCGGGGCGGAGAGGGAGTGTCTACTGGCAATCTCCAACGATTTCCTCATCCTGTTGGATCAGGAGGCTAAGGCTGTGGTCTTTAACTGTGCCACGCGTGACGTCATTGGCTGGTCCTCGGGCAGCCCCGCCTCCATGAAGATCTACTATGAGCGTGGGGAGAGCGTGTCGCTGCGCTCCATCAACAACAACACGGAGGACTTTGGAGAGGTGGTCAAACGCCTGGAGGTCAGTAGCAGCACATTTCGTCTGCTACGCTGATGGCTTAATAATATTTCACACACCATCTGTTGTGATTATTACAGGGTTCCCAAGTTTCAAGCCAGATAAGGACCTTTCATCACTAACAAATGGGTTATGGGTTATAATAAACATACCTCTCATTTCCACCTCTGATAATCCATTATGTTCAAAGGAGATGCAGTATAGGCCTACAGTGATTACAAATACAATGTTACAGGTATAGCACTCAGCATTGACCGTATTTGGAGAGGTAGTTTAATCATTCACATGAGATTAGGCAATGCCAGTTGTCTTGAATGAAATATTAACAGTATTTGCTAAGGGTTATTTCATGTTTGCGTGTACAGTGAGTGTGTGTATATACCATACCCTTTGTTGTGGGAAAGAGGAGGCATCGTCAGTGTTGTAGCATAATATCCTGCTCTGGCCCTGTTGTGGTTGCCTGGAGGTCTGTGTTAAGTACTATGTTACAACCTCTTTCCACCTGACCTGGAGTCAGAAGGGCCAGGCAGGGTGTATTCAACCTTAAACCCTCCCTCCTGTACACAAACACTTTAATTGAAGGGTACTGCATCCGCTGATGATAGATTCAGTCTGCTAGTGTGTGTCTTATCACATCTAAGCCCTAGGGCAGATTGGGTTTATGTGATGTATTTTATAGTAGCAGCAGCCAACAGAATAGTTTAGATTTAAAGATTGAGACTAGACCAGAGGAAAGAGTGCCTCCTACTGGCCCTCCAACACCACTTCCAGCAGCATCAGGTCTCCCATCCAGGGACCAACCCTGCTTAGCTTCAGAGGCAAGCCAGCAGTGGGATACAAGGTGGTATGCTGCACAGAGCATACACAGCACGTGTAGTGTAATCTGTCTTTGGATTTAGAGGTTTCTTACGTTATGTAGTGATAACTCTTCTGCTTCTCCTCTTCCTCCTCCACCTCCTCTATCCCTAGCTCCTGACGAAGGGCAGCCAGACCACAGAGATGACCCTGAGGAGGAACGGCCTGGGCCAGCTGGGCTTCCATGTAAACTTTGAAGGCATCGTGGCAGAGGTAGAGCCCTACGGGTACGCCTGGCAGGCCGGGCTGCGCCAGGGCAGCAGGCTGGTAGAGATCTGTAAGGTGGCCGTGGCATCGCTGTCCCACGAGCAGATGATCGATCTGCTGAGGACCTCCGTCACCGTCAAGGTGGTCATCATACCCCCGCACGAGGACTCCACCCCTCGCAGGTACAGCTCACAGACAACAAATCATCTATCTATCAACAGATATGCCCCTCCATCAGTCATATCAGTAGCATGCATTTGGGTACTGCGGCAGCGCTGCAGTGTTTGTAGTGTATATCTCTGTCTCTTCTCACAGAGGCTGTTCAGAGCTGTACCACATGCCCCTGGTGGACTATAAGAACCACAAGGAGGGGATGCCCTATGAGTTTAAATTCCCCTTCCGCAGCAACAACAAGTGGCCCCGCACCTCCTCCAGCCCCCAGAGCCGCACCACAGGGGCCCTGGGGGGGACGCTCATCAAGGCCCCGGCTTCAGGCTACCAGGACCCGGCTGGAGTCATCCCCCGCAGTGTGTCCAACGACGGGCGCCCTCTCAACCCCAAAAGGTAAGAGAGCCACCCCGGCTAATAATATGATATATTGGAGGGAAGGTGTACAAGCTTTAAGCTTAGTGGTGGAATCTGTATGCTCGGTATCCCTCAGGTATTCCCCAGGGAATGATAACTATGCCCTGGCCTGTTCCATCGTGATGGGCCGCTCTCCACACACCCGCAACACTCCTACCAGCCTCTCCTACACAGACACCGGTAGTGCGGGCTCTAACCACTGGAGACAGAAGTCCATGCCAGACGGGTGAGAGGTCACTCAGGCCAGAACAAACCTGGGCCAATTTAAGGCCACATTCAGACCACACCCAGATCATACACAGACCAAAATTCAGATGGAGAAACAGATCGCTGTAGGGTTTTACCTAAATTGCTCTATTTTCAGATGTAGTCTGCATTTACTGTAATTACGTCTTTGGGAGTTATCCAACAATAGAAAGGAAATGACTAAAATATAATGATATGTTGTACTAGTTGATATGTTGTACTCTCCAAGACTAAAACGACTTCTGTTTTGTTCAGTAAATGATGCAGCTAGCCCTCTTCTTCCATCTCTTTTCCAGGTTTAACAACAATAACCGCCTCTCCCCTGTGTCTGCTGAGCATCAGGGAGTGGGAGAGGGGTCTAACGGGGCTAAGCCTGCCACCGGATGGCCACGAGCGGTGGAAGGGGAGGTGGCCGACAGGGGGGCTGATAGAGCTACAACAGGTAAGCTTTAGAATAGTGGTATTCAAAGTCGCGGTCACGACGCCAGGAACTGCAGTGGGGTCGACAAAATTATATATACACTGCTCAAAAAAATAAAGGGAACACTAAAATAACACATCCTAGATCTGAATGAATGAAATAATCTTATTAAATACTTTTTTCTTTACATAGTTGAATGTGCTGACAACAAAATCACACAAAAATTATCAATGGAAATCAAATTTATCAACCCATGGAGGTCTGGATTTGGAGTCACCCTCAAAATTAAAGTGGAAAACCACACTACAGGCTGATCCAACTTTGATGTAATGTCCTTAAAACAAGTCAATATGAGGCTCAGTAGTGTGTGTGGCCTCCACGTGCCTATATGACCTCCCTACAACGCCTGGGCATGCTCCTGATGAGGTGGCAGATGGTCTCCTGAGGGATCTCCTCCCAGACCTGGACTAAAGCATCCGCCAACTCCTGGACAGTCTGTGGTGCAACGTGGCATTGGTGGATGGAGCGAGACATGATGTCCCAGATGTGCTCAATTGGATTCAGGTCTGGGGAACGGGCGGGCCAGTCCATAGCATCAATGCCTTCCTCTTGCAGGAACTGCTGACACACTCCAGCCACATGAGGTCGAGCATTGTCTTGCATTATGAGGAACCCAGGGCCAACCGCACCAGCATATGGTCTCACAAGGGGTCTGAGGATCTCATCTCGGTACCTAATGGCAGTCAGGCTACCTCTGGCGAGCACATGGAGGGCTGTGCGGCCCCCCAAAGAAATGCCACCCCACACCATGACTGACCCACCGCCAAACCGGTCATGCTGGAGGATGTTGCAGGCAGCAGAACGTTCTCCACGGCGTCTCCAGACTCTGTCACGTCTGTCACATGTGCTCAGTGTGAACCTGCTTTCATCTGTGAAGAGCACAGGGCGCCAGTGGCGAATTTGCCAATCTTGGTGTTCTCTGGCAAATGCCAAACGTCCTGCACGGTGTTGGGCTGTAAGCACAACCCCCACCTGTGGACGTCGGGCCCTCATACCACCCTCATGGAGTCTGTTTCTGACCGTTTGAGCAGACACATGCACATTTGTGGCCTGCTGGAGGTCATTTTGCAGGGCTCTGGCAGTGCTCCTCCTGCTCCTCCTTGCACAAAGGCGGAGGTAGCAGTCCTGCTCCTGGGTTGTTGCCCTCCTACGGCCTCCTCCACGTCTCCTGATGTACTGGCCTGTCTCCTGGTAGCACCTCCATGCTCTGAACACTACGCTGACAGACACAGCAAACCTTCTTGGCCACAGCTCGCATTGATGTGCCATCCTGGATGAGCTGCACTACCTGAGCCACTTGTGTGGGTTGTAGACTCTGTCTCATGCTACCACTAGAGTGAAAGCACCGCCAGCATTCAAAAGTGACCAAAACATCAGCCAGGAAGCATAGGAACTGAGAAGTGGTCTGTGGTCACCACCTGCAAAACCAGTCCTTTGTTGGGGGTGTCTTGCTAATTGCCTATAATTTCCACCTGTTGTCTATTCCATTTGCACAACAGCATGTGAATTTTATTGTCAATCAGTGTTGCTTCCTAAGTGGACAGTTTGATTTCACAGAAGTGTGATTGACTTGGAGTTACATTGTGTTGTTTAAGTGTTCCCTTTATTTTTTTGAGCAGTGTATATATTTTTTTATTGTATGGGATAATATACAAACGTTTTTGAGAAAGATAATTTGAAAAATAAAATGTTATTGAGTAAATATATTTATTGGTTTATTTTCATTTTGATAAGAGATGAAAATGCAATTAATTGAAGGATATTTGTTGATTACAAATTCTAAATGTACCGATTTTAAGGTTGTGTCATTAGATTTGGCGTGGGGTGGGGTCACGAGAAAATCTTGGGGAAAAATGGGGTCCCCAGAAATTGGCTGAAAATGTTTGAATACCACTGCTTTAGAAAATGCCCAAGTCATGTCTCTGGTGTTTTGGGTGATGCAGATGATGAGAGTCAGAGAAAGGAATACCTCTCTATGTTACTGGTATTGTTATCTGTGTGTCTCATTCCTCTGTTTGCTCCTGTCCCTCCCAGACCCAGCTGTATCCAAGGCTGCAGTATCTTGTCTCCAGCAGCAGGAACAGGGAATACACCTGTCTCCCAACAAGAACATCAAGGTGAGGCACCAGGCTCAAATATGACCAAATATGTCTTCTAAGATTGAATGAAGAGCCTGTAATGGGAGCTTGAGCTATGGCAAATAGACATAGGAATATAGCTAGCTTGACAATGTCAAAGTAGTCTTTATTTACTATGGTCAAAAAAACAGGAAGTTACTGTAGGGTCTCTGTCTCTACAGGTGGAAGCTTCCTACTCCTCCAGCCAATCAGGCAGCAACACACTGTCCAGTAATGCCTCCAGCTCTGCCCACAGTGATGAAAAGTGGTATGAGATTGGCTCCAGCAGGACAGGGGTGCGGCCTGATTCAGAGCTCAACGGCTACCTGCAGGGGGCATCCACAGACAGCGGCATCGATGCTACCTCCTACGGGGCCACAGGGTCCGGGGGCTCCAGAGCCAAAGAGCGGCGGGCCCCAGAGACCTCTCCTTCAGCCCCAGACTCTCCCGGCCACCCAGGGAGCAGCTTGTACCCAGCCCAGAGCCCCCTTGTGTTCCCCCCAGCCCCGGACAGTGGCTCCTACACCCTCAGTGATGCTGCATCCCACTCCAGGTGTGTGTGCCTCCCTGTGCTGTGCTACCCCACATGAAAAAAAAACTATAGTGTATACTATGGTAGGAATACTATAGTATTCACTGTAGTGTTTTTGCAGACTTTACTGTAGTATTTGCAGTTTACTATAGTAGAAATACTGTAGTAGAAAAAGAGTAGTACAGTGAGGGAAAAAAGTATTTGATCCCCTGCTGATTTTGTACGTTTGCCCACTGACAAAGACATGATCAGTCTATAATTTTAATGGTAGGTTTATTTGAACAGTGAGAGACAGAATATCAACCAAAAAATCCAGAAAAACGCATGTCAGAAATGTTATAAATTGATTTGCATTTTAATGAGGGAAATAAGTATTTGACCCCTCTGCAAAACATGACTTAGTACTTGGTGGCAAAACCCTTGTTGGCAATCACAGAGGTCAGACGTTTCTTGTAGTTGGCCACCAGGTTTGCACACATCTCAGGAGGGATTTTGTTCCACTCCTCTTTGCAGATCTTCTCCAAGTCATTAAGGTTTCGAGGCTGACGTTTGGCAACTTGAACCTTCAGCTCCCTCCACAGATTTTCTATGGGATTAAGGTCTGGAGACTGGCTAGGCCACACCAGGACCTTAATGTGCTTCTTCTTGAGCCACTCCTTTGTTGCCTTGGCCGTGTGTTTTGGGTCATTGTCATGCTGGAATACCCATCCACGACCCATTTTCAATGCCCTGGCTGAGGGAAGGAGGTTCTCACCAAAGATTTGACGATACATGGCCCCGTTCATCGTCCCTTTGATGCGGTGAAGTTGTCCTGTCCCCTTAGCAGAAAACCACCCCCAAAGCATAATGTTTCCACCTCCATGTTTGACGGTGGGGATGGTGTTCTTGGGGTCATAGGCAGCATTCCTCCTCCTCCAAACAAAACGAGTTGAGTTGATGCCAAAGAGCTCGATTTTGGTCTCATCTGACCACAACACTTTCACCCAGTTCTCCTCTGAATCATTCAGATGTTCATTGGCAAACTTCAGACGGCCCTGTATATGTGCTTTCTTGAGCAGGGGGACCTTGCGGGCGCTGCAGGATTTCAGTCCTTCACAGCGTAGTGTGTTACCAATTGTTTTCTTGGTGACTATTGTCCCAGCTGCCTTGAGATCATTGACAAGATCCTCCCGTGTAGTTCTGGGCTGATTCCTCACCGTTCTCATGATCATTGCAACTCCACGAGGTGAGATCTTGCATGGAGCCCCAGGCCGAGGGAGATTGACAGTTCTTTTGTGTTTCTTCCATTTGCGAATAATTGCACCAACTGTTGTCACCTTCTCACCAAGCTTGTCCCTGACATCTTGTCCCTGACATCCTTGGAGAGCTCTTTGGTCTTGGCCATGGTAGAGAGTTTGGAATCTGATTGATTGATTGCTTCTGTAGACTGGTGTCTTTTATACAGGTAACAAGCTAAGATTAGGAGCACTCCCTTTAAGAGTGAGCTCCTAATCTCAGCTCATTACCTGTATAAAAGACACCTGGGAGCCAGAAATCTTTCTGATTGCGAGGGGGTCAAATACTTATTTCCCTCATTAAAATGCAAATCAATTTATAACATTTTTGACATGCGTTTTTCTGGATTTTTTTGTTGTTATTCTGTCTCTCACTGTTCAAATAAACCTACCATTAAAATTATAGACTGATAATTTCTTTGTCAGTGGGCAAATGTACAAAATCAGCAGGGGATCAAATACTTTTTTCCCTCACTGTATACACTATAGTATTTACTGTAGTGTTTTTGTAGACATTACTGTAGTATTTACTATAGTATTTTTGTTTTATTATCTTTGACATAGAAGTGGAGGTGTTCTCCTTGAGGAAACCCTCTGGAGAAATAAAGTCCCTTTTTCAGGACCCTGTCTTTCAAAGATAATTCGTAAAAATCCAAATAACTTCACAGATCTTCATTGTAAAGGGTTTAAACACTGTTTCCATGCTTGTACAATGAACCATATACAATTAATGAACATGTGCCTGTGGAACGGTCATTAAAACACTTAACAGCTTACAGACGGTAGGCAATTAAGGTCACAGTTATGAAAACTTAGGACACTAAAGAGGCCTTTCTACTGACTCTGAAAAACACCAAAAGAAAGATGCCCAGGGTCCCTGCTCATCTGCGTGAACATGCCTTAGGCATGCTGCAAGGAGGCATGAGGACTGCAGATGTGGCCAGGGCAATAAATTGCAATGTCCGTACTGTGAGACGCCTAAGACAGCACTACAGGGAGACAGGATGGACAGCTGATCGTCCTAGCAGTGGCAGACCACGTGTAACAACACCTGCACTGGATCGGTGCATCCGAACATCACACCTGCGGGACAGGTACAGGATGGCAACAACAACTGCCCGAGTTACACCAGGAACGCACAATCCCTCCGTCAGTGCTCAGACTGTCCGCAATAGGCTGAGAGAGGCTGGACTGAGTGCTTGTAGGCCTGTTGTAAGGCAGGTCCTCACCAGACATCACCGGCAACAACGTCACCTATGGGCACAAACCCACCGTCGCTGGACCAGACAGGACTGGCAAAAAGTGCTCTTCACAGACGAATCGCGGTTTTGTCTCACCAGGGGTGATGGTCGGATTTGCGTTTATCGTCGAAGGAATGAGCGTTACACCGTGGCCTGTACTCTGGAGCGGGATCGATTTGGAGGTGGAGGGTCCGTCATGGTCTGGGGCGGTGTGTCACAGCATCATCGGACTGAGCTTGTTGTCATTGCAGGCAATCTCAACGCTGTGCCTTACAGGGAAGACATCCTCCTCCCTCATGTGGTACCCTTCCTGCAGGCTCATCCTGACATGACCCTCCAGCATGACAATGCCACCAGCCATACTGCTCATTCTGTGCGTGATTTCCTGCAAGACAGGAATGTCAGTGTTCTGCCATTGCCAGCGAAGAGCCCAGATCTCAATCCCATTGAGCACGTCTGGGACCTGTTGGATCGTAGGGTGAGGGATAGGGCCATTCCCCCCAGAAATGTCCGGGAACATGCAGGTGCCTTGGTGGAAGAGTGGGGTAACATCTCACAGCAAGAACTGGCAAATCTGGTGCAGTCCATGAGGAGGAGATGCACTGCAGTACTTAATGCAGCTGGTGGCCACACCAGATACTGACTGTTACTTTTGAGTTTGACTCCCCCTTTGTTCAGGGACACATTATTCCATTTCTGTTAGTCACATGTCTGTGGAACTTGTTCAAATTATGTCTCAGTTGTTGAATCTTGTTATGTTCATACAAATATTTACACATGTTAAGTTTGCTGAAAATAAACGCAGTTGACAGTGAGAGGACATTTATTTTCTTTGCTGAGTTTACTAAAAGAGCAAATGTTCTATAACCTGTTGGTAGGTAGGAATGGGGTCTGAACGGATAGTTTGGTGCTTCTGGTCTTTTCTATAACCATAGGGTACACAATATATGGTCTATACTTGGCATGTAGGTTTATCACTTACAGGTGGCACATATTGGGATGTAGGGAGGGGAATGGGCAGGGTATATGCAAATAAAAAAATATTTTTTTTTGTTTTTGCTGACATTTCTGTAGTATTTACTACAGTGTTTTTTTTAAATAGAAAATACTGTAGTGTATATATACTATATTATTCTACAGTACAGTGGGGGAAAAAAGTATTTAGTCAGCCACCAATTGTGCAAGTTCTCCCACTTAAAAAGATGAGAGAGGCCTTTAATTTTCATCATAGGTACACGTCAACTATGACAGACAAATTGAGATTTTTTTTCTCCAGAAAATCACATTGTAGGATTTTTTATTAATTTATTTGCAAATTATGGTGGAAAATAAGTATTTGGTCACCTACAAACAAGCAAGATTTCTGGCTCTCACAGACCTGTAACTTCTTCTTTAAGTGGCTCCTCTGTCCTCCACTCGTTACCTGTATTAATGGCACCTGTTTGAACTTGTTATCAGTATAAAAGACACCTGTCCACAACCTCAAACAGTCACACTCCAAACTCCACTATGGCCAAGACCAAAGAGCTGTCAAAGGACACCAGAAACAAAATTGTAGACCTGCACCAGGCTGGGAAGACTGAATCTGCAATAGGTAAGCAGCTTGGTTTGAAGAAATCAACTGTGGGAGCAATTATTAGGAAATGGAAGACATACAAGACCACTGATAATCTCCCTCGATCTGGGGCTCCACGCAAGATCTCACCCCGTGGGGTCAAAATGATCACAAGAATGGTGAGCAAAAATCCCAGAACCACACGGGGGGACCTAGTGAATGACCTGCAGAGAGCTGGGACCAAAGTAACAAAGCCTACCATCAGTAACACACTACGCCGCCAGGGACTCAAATCCTGCAGTGCCAGACGTGTCCCCCTGCTTAAGCCAGTACATGTCCAGGCCCGTCTGAAGTTTGCTAGAGTGCATTTGGATGATCCAGAAGAGGATTGGGAGAATGTCATATGGTCAGATGAAACCAAAATAGAACTTTTTGGTAAAAACTCAACTCGTCGTGTTTGGAGGACAAAGAATGCTGAGTTGCATCCAAAGAACACCATACCTACTGTGAAGCATGGGGGTGGAAACATCATGCTTTGGGGCTGGTTTTTTGCAAAGGGACCAGGACGACTGATCCATGTAAAGGAAAGAATGAATGGGGCCATGTATCGTGAGATTTTGAGTGAAAACCTCCTTCCATCAGCAAGGGCATTGAAGATGAAACGTGGCTGGGTCTTTCAGCATGACAATGATCCCAAACACACCGCCCGGGCAACGAAGGAGTGGCTTCGTAAGAAGCATTTCAAGGTCCTGGAGTGGCCTAGCCAGTCTCCAGATCTCAACCCCATAGAAAATCTTTGGAGGGAGTTGAAAGTCCGTGTTGCCCAGTGACAGCCCCAAAACATCACTGCTCTAGAGGAGATCTGCATGGAGGAATGGGCCAAAATACCAGCAACAGTGTGTGAAAACCTTGTGAAGACTTACAGAAAACGTTTGACCTGTGTCATTGCCAACAAAGGGTA